GAACTCCCAACTCTTGAGCCACAATCGCCCCGCAATGGCTGCAAATAACTTGTTATTTGCAAAACTTGTGCATATGATTTAAAAATTCACAATTTATATTTGCATTTAAGGTTATGAAATATGATTCAATGAACATGTTTGTGGTTGTTACAGTGAAAAAAAATCACTTTTTCTACTCGGATTTGTTGTTTTTTGTCTTATTTTAGATGAATTGTGTTAATACAGTATTTCAAAATGAAAACATAACTGTAAATTCAGACACGTGAGGTTGTGCTGAAAAGAATGATACCAAACAAGGCAAAGTAAATAGTTTTTAAAGGTGACCTGTCGAGGAAAAATTAAAAGTGGTTGAAATGGCCAATTATACCCTGGACCCCAGAGGGTTAAACATTTTTTTTAAAGTATCAGAATCAGAATCAGAATACTTTATTAATCCCGAAGGAAAGTAACGCAATAGTTACTTTTGAAGTAATCAATTACTTTTAGAATCTGGTAACTCAGTAACTAACTCAGTTACTTTTTTGAAGTAACTAGTAACTATAATTAATTACTTTTTCAAAGTAACTTGCCCAACACTGGTCTCCAGAGTCCCTTGTGGATCCACTGAAAAGAAGCCCAGATCACTTCGGTTTGGTTTAGATTTATCAGAAATAAAGGAGAGTTCACCTTAAAGATATGAGTTTTTATGGACATTCATGGACAAGTCCATAAATAATAAATGAGCAACCCTCATTGTCATCATTATTTAACTTGTACAGTAAGTCGTACTGTTAATGTTTCCATTTCATGTCTGTGGCTATATGTGTTTGTGTAAATTAAACTTCTGTTGCATTTAAGTACACGTTTTAAAGCTTCTCTGCTCAGAGTTAAAAGTGTAAAATGTTACTTCATGAGGTTAATACTTCTGGTTAAGTTCAGGGGAAGCGTTGGTAAGCATTGTGTCACTTTGTGCCTATGTTCATGAGCATGTGCTGTTGTGGTTGCATGTCAGCATGTAAATACCGAACAGTCTGTGTCTTCACAGTTAATGAGAACTTGTGAAAACGAGAGTGAATTATATCTTTACTATAAAGTGTGTATACAATTCATTATGCTAAAGACTTGGATTTTGCTTCTTCCTTGACGCCATAGCTGACACCACTGCACACTGATATGAGTAACCCAAATTAGACTAATTACTATCAACCTCTTAAATAATATAATATCACAGTGATGTGTAGTTCACACTGAAGATCTATTCTATTCTATTCTATTCTATTCTATTCTATTCTATTCTATTCTATTCTATTCTATGCTATTCAAGTGTTCATGTAATAAACAAATGATGTGTAGCTTATACATATCATATATATACTGGGGTTTTTTTGTTTTTTTTTTATTCATCCCAATGATAGCATCCTTTGACTGAAATTAAGTGTGTATACACACTGATGTCAGTGTCCTCTCACTTTTCCTGAATTGATATCTGATGCCCACAGCATCCGCTGGATCTTGGAGCAGTCCCCCAGTTCATCTGAAACATCACTTCTCTCTTTAAGACCACCCTGTAAGCTAGTGGTTCTCAAACTGTGGGCAGGACTCCATTAGTGAAACATGGTACTACTGCAGGTGGGGAGTGAAACAAAATCCAGTAAATATGATTTTGGTTTGGAGAATAAACAAAAGTTTACTGATGTACTTAAGTGTGGATTACACTGCACAGGCAGCTGCAGACATGACAAATGAGGTGTCACTCCTGTCATAGTGCTTTGAAGTCGCAAAGTAACCATGTCTAGTTGTCACATTGTAGTAGTGTCTTCACTGATGACGCCACGTGGTCACAAAACAATGACAGGTACACAGATGTTTGTGCAAAGCCTTCGTTCACTGTCTGGTGATGAAATTCCCATTACTCTGACACAAGTGGACCTAGGCAGATACAGAAACTGTATCATGCCCATAAAATTCAGTGTTGTGCGGGCAAACATTAAAGCCACCTTTGTATTACTGGTCTTAAGCTGAGGTGTGATGCTTAGAGCGTCTCTTTGTCACAACCAAAATAGCATGCTTATGGGTGATGGGAGGGGTGGAGGGTAATGATTTGGGCTAGTTTCGCAATTACAGGACTTGTTACTGTTACTTTTTGTAAGGTGTTCACACACCCACCCACACACACACACACACACACACACACACACACACACACACACACACACACACACACACACACACACAGAGTATTGATTTTAAACCTGCAAAGGAGATCATTTGCCACAACTTTTGCCATTACAAAGTTCAAAGTAGTGTTCCAGTAAGCACTGCACACATGTATGGTTCCACCTTTGCACTCTTTATTATGATCCCTTTTAAAAAATATGGCTTTAGGTCACATTTAAACCATTTTAAAGACTTCTCACCCATTTAATTCACACTTGTGTGTGTTGCTTGTTGTTATACATACAGCAGGCGTGTATAAAAGTCAAAGACTGAATGTAACAGCCTGCTCTGTGGAAGAAACTGGGCATCACCTTTGTCTCTGTTTATTATACAGGAAGCAAATAGAAGAGTGGAATTACCTTTATAGAGTTGTATTTTATTTGCATAGACATAGCAATAACTGCATATAACTGCTATGGCTATGATATTAGGTCAGTTTTGTTGCATTATTCCTAAGCAGATAATAAGCAAATATAAGTATGTAAGAATACTTGAAATGGTGACAATAAAACATTTTCAGTTTTTGAAGTGGCTCTGCTTTGAGACTTTAACAAAAATATTTTAGTACACTATGCTCTTTGACTACATCTATAGTATTTGTATACTGTACACATGATGTGTTGAGGACAGTGATAAAGTCAGAGAAAAGCAGTATAAACACATTTGTGACATAACATCTCTGGTCACATGAAGTCAACCAGAAATATTTCTTGAATATAAATTCTCTTTATTGAATGGTCACTACAGTCACCAGATATCAGTTCAACAGAACACATTGGGGATGTGGAGGTACAGGTATAATTCTTCTATATAATGGGTCAAATATAGACAAATGATAACAAAAATTATACTCTATAAAATCAGGTGCTTTCCAATTTGTGAAAGAGATATGACTAATCTGTTTTTATAAATTAGAGATCTATAGAATCAAAGTTTGATCTTTACTTGGAAATGTTAGTCTGGAGAAGGGAAAGACGTGCAGTCCAGCAATTACACAGAATCTGCCAAAATTCCCTCCATTGATAGCTGTCAGCACATCTAATGACATAGAGTAAAAATGAACTTTGATAGTTATTTTGGCAAACCTTATTTTTTTCTAATGTATAAACAAATGTGAAGGAAAATGGCATTCATGCTACTACCACAAAGAAACTGTGTAACAGTTAAAGGAGGCGGAGGGTCATGAAGGATGTTGTGTACATGTCAGATTGAAAGAGACTATAGGACCTGCTCCTCCCTTGATGTCTGCCCCCAAACCTTCAAGAGTGAGATCAGTTTGCGTAAACAGAATGCAGCTGATATTTTAGCCTGCAGGATTGGGTCTGTTCTCCATTTGTGGTACAAGTGTTTAACTTTTAGGCTGTAAATGCAGAGCCTGTAACAACCACTTAGATTGAGAAGGATCTACAGAGCTGGCACTTTATCAGCCATAATGAAGAGCATTTTTTTCTTCTCCTGTTTTTTATATGGTAAGTGACTACCTAAAATTAATACATTAATTAATTTAAATGCTCAATTTGATGCCTTATAATGTCAAATGTAATGTCATTTGTTTTAGCAGCTGAACTAACAGAAGGAGTCATAATTAAAGTAGAGGGATTCGAGGGGAGAAATGTCTCCTTCCAATGCTCGCACACACTTGCATGGAAAAACCATAAGTATTTTTGCAAAGATCCATGCACACGCATGGAAGACATACTGGTTACTGTAGAATCTGGCAGAAGAGCAGAGTCCGGGAGGATAACTCTGGTGGACTCTGGGAATGGATCTTTCTCTGTGACCTTCAGTCATCTTCAGCTGTCAGACTCACAGAAATACCGGTGTGGAGTAGACAGGCCTGGTTTGGACTCATACATTGATGTACAGCTCACAGTAATGAAATGTACGTGTATAATCCTATTTCTTTTAGCTTGATTAAAAATGCATCACTACAGTGAATTCTATAGCTGTATCTAAAGGTTGGTGAAGTTTTACATATTCATTTCTTACTAGCAAAAATATATTACAAACAACATTGTTACAAACTCTGAACATAAATGCTGTGATTTTTTTCCGCATGTTAAATACTTTCAAGTATTTAATATATGAAAGGATAATTAAAATATTTAAAAAACCGGAGGTACCTAAAACATAAACCACATACAATACAAAATAACACCAAAACACAGTAACTCAAAAACACTGGGTCAAAATGACCCAGTACTATGACAACAATCAGAAAAACATTATATTGCAAAAAAAGAACTACTGACATGAAAATGTAAAGTGTTTTTTAAATGTAATTTAGTGAAAAAAGAAGAGAATGCTACTTTATTTTTGAATTTCATGTTGAAGTGAGCAAATATCACAAGTTGTACCAGAAAAAAAACCCCAAACAAAAGTATCCAACAATACTCTAATCCAAATAGAAAAAAAAATAACTGAGAAAACATTTTTGTGCACATTTTTTTCCTTGCGTACTTCGATATCAAAGTATACTAAGCAGATAATACTTTTGACAAACTTTAGCATTTTAATGATTTCATTTGTATTATTTTTACAGAACTTATCATCTCTCTAAATAACTTTTCTACCACTTCTTCTTACACAGCTGTTGAAAATGAGACTGATATTTCTTCTACATTGCCATATCCAAATCCCACCTTGAAGCAGTCCACAACAGGTATAAGTTCTGTCTGATATTATGCATTATAAGAAGAAAAAGTTGTATAAAGGCTACATGATTCAAGATTTCTTTTTAATACATCAGGCAACATCATTTGTGCTACCATTGGGGGTGTTATTCTGATCTCTGTCTTGATGATGGCAGTACGCTTCAAGAAATCCAGAAGAACATCAAACAATAAACTACAGGTTTACACCAACAGAGCAGACACCAGAAATTCAAATGAAAGCGAGGTATGAGTTAGAAAATGGAAGACACCTGTCAGGAAGCAGGAATATAAAAGAAGTTATATATAAAAAAATTACAGAATTATATTGAAAAGTAAATCATGAGAGTTATACAACCCCAACTCTGTACCAAAACCACTTCCATGTCCTTCTCTTAAATATAATGGCAAAACAGGAGGTGGTTGTCCGAGATTTTCAGACACTGGGACATGGGAGAAATGGTTTGTCTGGCTCTATTACCAGATAAGCATACCCGGAGGGCACTTGCTAACATTTTTATATCTCAGTTTACTTCTATTAGAGCCTCCTTGACTCCTCAAGTATTCATTAAATGGCCAGTCGACAAAACTAAAAACAAAATTACAAATCATGTCAAAGAAATTGTCTGGCTGACGGCTCCCTTAAAAATGCACCTTGTTTTTGTGTGTTTGTTTGTTTGTTTTTTGTCTTTAATGGATTAAATTTGACTAAATTTGTTTGATAGCCTATACCCCATGCTTTCTGTCTTTCAGTTAAACTAAGTAGAGCAAAGCCAACTGGCTGCGCATAAACTTTCATATTTCTACCAGTCTATAAGTATATTTAGGTTTCATATATAGGGGCTCATTGTCGGAGCTCTTTCTAAGTAAAAGTCTTATAGAAGTATTTTAGGACTGGACAGGTCAGACATGTTGGTGAGGTTAATATTCTCTCACTTGGTACCCAGGCATCATACCAACATATTGGTGTCCTACCAGGAGAGCTATGGAGTGAGGCAGATCATGGGCACCTTTGCTTAGGCTGCTGGCCATGTTAAATAGACCCCAAAAATGGTAGAAGATTTATGTTAAGTGTGCTTACTATAATCGATCTAATAATCTATCTAATAATCTGTGTGTGTCTTTCATACTGTATCATTAAAAACTTTGGATTTTTATATATATCTATATATCTCAACACTTTTTTGTCACTTTTTAATAGGTCAGTTGTGGGTACAATGACACTGACACGAGAACAAACAACTGTAGCAAGCTGTCTGCAAGTTCTTCTGTCTCTACTCATCAACAAAGATCAGATCTACAAACATTTAAACCCACATAAACCAAATGCAGCACACTCACTGCTGTCTATAAAGCCATTTATTTCTCCAGGCCTCTGGCAGGTTCAGGGTATTCGCCCATGGAGGGCTCAAATGAATAATAATAACTGGCATCTACATTAATGTCTTGCCATCTTTAATATATGAAAGAACCTGTGATTGCAGGAACCTCAGGAAGTTAAGTTATAATCTGTACTTTTTATGGACATTTGGAGACAAATACATTTTCCAATTATGAGCAACACTTGTTTTCATTATAATATGCCTATACACTGAATTAAAAGTTATTGTTTCCACTCCATGTCTGCTGTGCTCTGTGATCACAATGTGATGTTAACTATGGGGAAGCATGGATCCATCATGCCTTGTATGAATGGTTATCCTTTAATGACCATGTTTTATTTTCTCATGGCTGCTTCTAGCATGATGTCACAAAGCTCGTATCATCTCAACTGTTTTCCTGAAAGTGGCAATAAATTCTCTGTAGATAAATGGACTGCGCAGTCATCAGATTTCAATCCAATAGAGAACATTCACATCCATTCGTTTTCCATTTTAAAAACTGTTTCCAGTCACAAAGTAATTCACTGATAAATGTCAGTGCATCTAGTGAAGATTAACTTCAATAGTTAATTTTGAAAAACTGTTTCTCAGTGTAAACAAATGTGGAGGAAAGTAACATTCATGCTTCCTCCACAGAGTAACACTGTGTGTGGCAGTTCAATGAGGCTGAGGGTCATGAAGCATGCTGTGTATGTATTGAAAGAGGTCATTGGATCGGCTCATGACCGGCTCTTGTTTATTAATAAATATATTTCATTTGCAAATGCGTACAGTGGTACTATAAGCCTTTAACTTTGTAACTCCAAATGCAGAGTCTGTAGCAACAACAGAGCGGGCACTTTTTCCAGCATTTCTTTCATCTCCTGTCTTTTATGTGGTAAGCGAAATCCTAAATTTATACATGAATTCATTTAAATGTTGAAGTAGATGCCTTCTTCTAATAACATGAATGGCTTTAGCAGCTGCATTGACTGAGCGAGCCATAATCAACAACAGGGCAGATCTGAGCAATGCAAACAAGAGAGGTATGAATCAGATACTGCTATCAAAGGCAGTGATCAGGGTGATCTCTAATCACTGTGAATAAAATAAAGCATAAAATATATTCGGGGTTGAATTTGCTGGAGCAAAGTGAGAGTAAGTCATTAGAAGTTGTACCAGCTGTGTTGATGTTATGGATTTTTTGTTGTGTCAGACAACCAGCTGTTTGATGGCTTGGTTTAGATTTGTCTGGAATAAATCAGAGCTAATCGCAAAGATATATGAGATTTGTGTAAATTTTATGGAAATTCCTCGACAAGTGGATACTCCGGGTATTAAAAGCTTCATCTGAAATCTTCGTCACACTGAGGGTGTATGCTAAATTTCACTGTGGTTATTTCTAATTCACCACTGTAGCTGCCTGTGTTTCTGTAACTCAATTTTTTTTTTGCATTTGAATATAAAAAGCTTGTTCACATAAGGTTAACCAGGTCTGAAATACCACTTCATATGGTTGACTCCTCTGGTTAAGGTCAGGGTAAGAGGGAAGTTCAGTAGATGAAGTTTAGTCACTGTAGTATGCTGTGGTGCTTTTATTTTTTACCTTCATGACCATACTTGTGAATATTGTGGTTGTTGTCACAGAACAGGGGTTGCATTTGCAATTAGTGACACCTTGTGAAAATGTGAGTAATGTCATGTCTTTACAGATACTCTGTCCTCATATAACATGCCAGATACTTGGATTTTTGTCCCTCCCAGGGGTCATATTAATAAAGACACTGTGAGGGTCAGCACTGATATAAACAACCCCAAATAGACTTTATTACTGTAAAACGGTGAAACTTCTTCTCCTTTTTTTTTTT